CCTTTAGACTGCCTCCAGCAATAAATGAAATAGAAAACCAAAGGAGCAGAATATACCAAAGAAGGAGCTGATTTGTTATGATATCTCCTAAATTGGCAGGAAAAGGTTATTTTAATATAGCTTTTGAGAAAATAATATTATAAGCTTTTTTGCCCTTCTAAAACTCCCGGATACTATATCATACCATCAAGTAAAACATACACAACTAAACACCAGTGACATCAGAGACAATACTACGCCATTCATATATCAAAACAGGCTGCACAATTTCACCTTCGATATCCAAGACCTTCTAACAAAAGCGAAAGAAATTCCCAGAATTCTATTGGCTCATTATTCGTGATGAAAAATGCCTGCATGAAAAGAAAAATACTTTGGTATGCATGAATATCAAAACAGCACAACTAGTGAGTTCCATATATACAAACCTTTCCTGCAACAGAAACTGTTTGGAAATTTAGGGCTTCTTCGGCACAGATGTGGGCATGGGTAACATTTTCAGAAAAGGTGAAATCTGAAAGATTATCACCAGTCCCTATAATAAACTGAAATGAGAGATTGTTACTCTAAAATAAGACTTTACCCACTAGATGAGATCAAAAATATAAATCACATGATATATGAAACCGTCAACAAAAGTTTTATCCCACAAGGTGAGATCAGCTACATAAATCACAATTCAACTAGGTTAAAGATCAAACTATTAGGAGTTGGTTAATTGCGGTTACCTCTGGCCCGTCACATTAGACATTCTTTTTGGGGGGCTTCGTTAATTGCAATCTCAAGGGTGGTATTCTAGTCTCACACCAATTAGAGATATAACTTAAACGAAGCTTTGAAGTTTGGGTAGTCATCATCTTACAAGCGTTTTTTTGTAGAATTGACTTTGACCATAAGTTCAAATTCTACGAATAGGAAATTTTGACTGGCTTCAATTGGAGCTCGAGAGAATTTATAGCATATCCAATAATCAAAACTAATGAAGGACCAAAATGTGGATGTTAAGCATGATTAAAGTCAGTGTGAAATTAGCTTCGTCATCATCCTCTATCCTATGATAGAGAAAGATAGAGAGAGAGAGAAAAAGTATTGGTGTGATTGATTACGTACACAATAACACAACTCTAAATTAATTACAACCAATTATGAGATGGTAAACGTGAACTTTTTGTAAACTGCATTAGCATTTATAAAAACCAGCCCCCCCCTTTTTGACCAAAAAGAAACACTACGAAGTAAAAAAAAAAAAAAAAGAGGGTAAAAAGAAAACTACCTTTGTAAAACCATATCTTGCTGACTTGAGAAAATATGGTACAAATTCTGTGTCACCAGGTCCAAAAACATTACTAGGACGAAGAGAGCACGTCAATAGGCCATCAATGTCATTGACACTCAGGATCAAAGATTCCGCTTGAGCCTTAAGGTCACTCAACATATTGTCAGTCTGCAATTCCCACCCTCCCATTAAAATGCTTAATCATTCGCAAACGAAAAACATCTAATCAAGCTTTTAAAGGGTAAAAACTAAAATACTCTTCCAAACTTGACAAAAGTAGAACCATACTTTCCACGGATAGGCCAACGACTCATCTCCATCACGAATATCATGTAAACCATCAAATACAACATCCGCGGAACTGTTATATATTAGGCGTTTCACTCTACATTCTCGGCAAGCACTAATTACATTCTTGGCTCCTGAATAATCGAACATCAAATCGCATAAGAAAAAGCATCTAATCTACTGCAATTAACAGAGCAAATGGCAGAGTACCTTGAACTATTAGCCTGTAACAAGTATAGAAGTCATTAACATCAACGCCAGCAACATCCATAAAAAACACAACAGAAGAACCTCCTAGAACTGCACAAAGCGCATTTGAAGGCTGGTATCAGTTTCCACAATTGAAAAGAATTGAAAGAAAATGAGGTGGATACGAGTGTGATGCACAAACACGTGACGTAACAGAAAGGATTGTGGACCTTTGACAATGTTGCATTTATCGGTAAGGTCGATGTGGAAGTAAGAAGCGCGTGCGGAAGAGAGAGCTTGCGCGAGGATGGACTCGGAGTGATGGAACTGGAGAGAGTGAGCGGAATCGGCGATTCGGACGATCCAGTTACCGAGTTTCAACAACCTGAGGACCAATGATCTTCCGAGGAATCCTCTGCCACCTACAACTACGCACGTCTTAGGGTTCAAATGTGCGAACCGATCGTCCACCGTCATTGCTGCCAGAGCGAACCGATGAACGCTAATGCTGTATTATACGTATTTATTGAATTGAATTATTCATGTGCAAGGTTGTTAATGTGATGTGAGTGCAAAAGGAGATAGAGAGAGAGAGAGAGTGAGGGAGAGAGCGAGAAAGAGAGTTAGTTGCTAAATTAACCTGTTGTTAGTCGTGTTCTGCGTTTCCTTTGGCGCGGAAACTGTTTCTGTGTATTGCAAAGCAAATCGCACTGAGAGTGGGTGGGGACCCTCTTAGAATCTTTTGGACAAGGGAAGGGCGAGGGGTAATAATCTGATCATGACGCTTATTAACTCTGATGTGATGCTAATGCCACACAACAACCGTACTAGCCACCATTACATTTGTTTCTATTATTATTATTATTATTATTATTATTATCCTTATTATTGTTGTTAAAATTGTTAGCATGCCGGGGCTAGTGCTTGCATAATTTATGTACTTTTCTGAGACGTGAAACAAAAGACGTGAACGTTACGACATCCATCCAACTGTATCAAATGGGAAGTGGTTAACCAAATAATGATCCTCTGTGGTGATACCCACAGATATGAGATGACATGGGTAGGTGTATTGTTTTTCTGGGCACAGTAATAGTGCATAAAGTAATTCTGTCATATTCGAGAAGGATGATGATTATGTTGTCTGTTTCTTTGAAGAGTGGCGATTAATGCACAAGCTATTGCAGATTCGGGTTTTGGGTGAATCCATCCATAAACCTGTTAGTGTGAGAGTAACAACCCACCATACTCCACAAGTCTCTGTCAAAATGTTAAGCACGACTTTCTAAAGTTAGTACTACTGCCAATGACCACTACAAGAGCAATATACACAATCTTCAACGACAGGTCACGCGTATAAACAGAATACTTGAAATCATATCCATGCTTGAAAATATTATTGTGATGCTTGCATCCTCTATCCTTAGGTTTGAAGTCAAACGATATCAATTGCAAATATTACGCATTAATAGCCGAGAAGTCTGTTTATAAAACAGTAGACCAATGAACTGCTTACGCTAACATTTCGTGCCTTTGTGGTCTGCCTAATAAGATAAATACAAGACGATGCCATTTGTGGTCTGCCTAATTACTGTTAAAGCCTGCTCTTATTTGTACAGATTAGATTTTTAAATATTGAAAATCTTCATGTCAAACATGCAAAGAATGGTTCAAAATAGTGAAATACCACTTCCTCAAACATTCTCAACATATGCATATGCTAACACAAGGGCGTGTCTTAGTGATGATCTTCTGCCATGCATCATCATGCTTTCGACTCCCATCATGCCAACAAAACTGAAATCTAATTTACATTTCAAATGAAGCCGAAGAAAATTTAAAAAATTATATTACGATATCACCAAGTAAATATTATTCCATTGATGGATTCATGAACCTAATCTATACAGAATAAGTATCTTTTAGAATTTTAAAATTTAATTAAGAAATTCTAAAATTTATCCTTTGCTTGCCGAATAACACCCAGGGCTTCTGCATCATCTGCGGTGGCTACAATATTTAGCTTTTGCCGGATTTCCATGCTCCATGTGCGAAGGAATGGATTGCAAGCCTTTTCCATCTTAAGCGTAGTTGGAATCTAAGAAAACAATAATAATTAGGTAAAAGAAAAACTCAAGATTCAAATCAAATAGACCAAGAACTAACAACGCTATGTTAGCTTTTAACAACTAACAACGATAATCAAAGTTATGACATGTTAGTGAGGAAGATCTGCCAGAGAGGGCACTTGAAAGTTGAAACCATCCATAGAAAAAGCTCAGTTCTGGAAATTACCGTGGGCAAGCCCTTATTTCTAATGTGAGCTACATGGGCAGCATAGGATTGAAGTTCCTTGTTTTCTGGTTCTATGGACAAGGCAAACTTTGAATTACTCTGTCAAATTTAAGAAGCCAAAGTCAATGTCACAGCAATTAGACTTGGAAATGAAGCAGGGAACATAATGAAAGTAGAAACAACTAACCAATGTATATTCATGACCGCAGTAAATACTTGTTTCATCCGGCAACGACATTATTCTTTTAAGAGAAGATAGCATCTGTATCATTGAAAAAATTCTCGATAATTAAAGATAAAACATTACAAGCTAACAAAGCATCGGACTTATACAAATTATACATTTGTAATAACATCTACAAATCAACATCCAACATTCAACTTACACAAAAAATATCATGACTCAATATATGCATAAAAAATGATAAAATAAAAGATTTATCCTTGTGTAACTGACACTATACAGATGCAATTCAAATCAACCTGTTCAGGGGTTCCTTCAAAGATCTCTCCACATGATAAGCTGAACAAGGTGTCTCCAGTAAAAATTGCTGCCGATCCTGGAAAGTAGAAGCATACATGACCTGCTTACAGCACAAACAGATAATAGATTGAAAAGGTGAGGAGTAGTAGGTTGAAGTAAAGAAAATCATATCAAGAAAATTAGCAGCAACTAGAGCATATTAGTTGCATAGCTAAACACTAGAGCACTACCCAAAGCAATAACCCATAAAAAGGTTTACAGAAAATCCCTACACTATTGACAAAATAAATCCTGGAGTCTAACTATGGGAAAGAAAGTCAAAGACTAGAATTCTTTGAGGGCCAGATAATATCATGCTAAACCAAGAAGAACATGCATGCCTTCAAGTAAAAACCATGAGCTTAGTCAATATAACAGCAAACAATCTAATAGAGAGTTTAGATTCCCTAGGAATTGAAAATTGTTGAGCAGAATAAAAGAGCGAAAGTAACAAGTAGATCTGAGCCATTTTTTCAAAAATTAGCTTAAAACATATCTAGTAGCAAACAAACTAAGACGATTTATTTTGCAAATGGACAATGAATATGACCTTCAGTGTGACCAGGTGTAGCTAATATATGCACCTCATGACCTGCAAACATCCAGTTATCTCCATCACTCAAATAAATATCAATACCAGGAATTCTTTCCTTGTCTATTTCTGATCCAATTACCTGTAAGATGAGGAATTTTTACAAATAAATCTCCTCACCATTTGCTGATAACACATTTATAATACTAATAAAAAGTATAATAAACTTTGACTCAAGATAAAAGACGTACCTTAGCCCCGTACCTTTCTTTCAACTCTGTATTTCCACTAGTGATATCATGATGGTGGTGGGTGTTCAGTATGTAAGTCAAATTTAGATTTTTCTTACTCAAAGCTTCTATAATAGGCGCAGCTTCGGAAGGATCAACAACACCAACTGTCCCCGTATCCACATCATGTAAAAGATATGCATAACTGTCCCTAAGGCACGGAACCTAAAAATAAAGAAAAATGAGATGATTAACAAAACATACTAAGATTCCAGCACATCGCACCAGAACTTATCAGCACGAGTGAATGAATATTAATCTAATTGCATAATTAAAAATGAGTGAGAAATTTGCTCACCAATTCAATCTGCAGTGTGGAAGATAGATTCACTACACTGCAAAATTGATCTACTCTCAACGACCGACTAGCTCCACGCAATGTTTTTAACGGTATAGAAAATAATCGCATAAATCCATATAAAAGACCTTTCCGCAAGCAAAGTTGTCTCGCATCCGGCCACACGCAAAACCCACTCCTTTCCTACAAGACAGAGAGTAATAAACACATATTACCAAATAATGTTGATGATCATCATAATAATAATAATAAAAATAATCATACAAGCACATCAACACACATAGAGCTACACACAAATGCAAAAGTAAAACCACCACCAAAACACGTATACAAAAACTCACAATGCCTGTGTGAGCAACACTGTTGCCATACTAGATTATAAGAATTTCACCGAGAAAACTCCCAAACACAAACAGAAAACCGAATTACCTCGAAATAAAACTACTGTCAAACATTTTCGAAATCAGAAAGCAAAATCAGTTGCAATCAATTGCTTCCAACCAAAACCGAAATCCTTGTGAGAGATCTACACTCAAAACATCTGGTATACAAGAAAATTCATGAAATCAAATAACGAAGATGGAGACTCGCACAAACAGTCAAACAAAAAACAATAAGAATAACGTTTATTCGATGTACGGTAGTAAGATCTCGGATTGGAGGGGAAAAATCAGTTAAAACAACAATAATAATAAATAATAATAATAATAATAATACCTTAGTTTCACTCATCGAATGTGATGCGAAAGAGTGGAGTTAAACGAGGAGAGAGAAGAAAGTGAATTGTTACAAAAGATAGAGAGAAATAGTTCGCATCAGGAATCCATTACTGTGAACGAAGGAGAATTTGCCGATTGAATTGTGTTGTTTGAGAGAGAGAGAGAGAGAGAGAGAGAGAGAGAGAGAGAGAGAGAGAGAGAGAGAGAGAGAGAGA